TTGTTGGACGGTTTTGTTCGACGAGCAAATTGGTCAAGCAAAAACGTCGCAAAACCGAAGTGTGTGGGCAAGAAATTGTCATTTTTGCTCGCATACAAAACCGATGCAAATATTTGGCTTTGCCTGATTTTGTCCGTCGGATATGTTCGATTTGTCAACAAATCTGAAGTGTGTGGGCTACGAATATCAAAAACGACGGTTTTGTGTCGTGTGTGTTGCGTAGCTACAGAATTTTATATTATTAACTTATTGAAACAAAAAACAAAAAAAAATCAAAACTTTTCAATATGACTGATCTTCGCCAAACTAAACCGAGGTCTGTGTGCACTCCGATCCGTCGTTTTTGCTCGACCAGATTTGTTCGTCGAACAAAACCGTTAAACAAAAACGCAGTCTGTGGGGGCCTTCGACTGCGCAGAGAGATACTTTCCCGCATGAAAAAGACGAACGACGCGAAGCGGAGTTCTGATAAGCTTTCAGTGTGGGAAAGACACTTTGCGCAAGTGTTAGGAACAATAACAATACTATTTCTTCGAGTGTTTGAAGATTTGCATAGCATCTAGAGGAGCTGTCCCTAATCGTAAATGTTTCCAGATGCTCAAAACTGATAATTTTCTCTCTTAGGGCCAAATTTATAGTAACTCCTTGAGTTCTCCTTGGACTTCGAGGAAGCCTTTGCCTTATACGTTTAGAATTGACTTGATAGACCACCCTCAAGGATGCCTCAAAGATCGTCTATAAATTTTGCCCTTAGTTCAATGAGTTGTGTGTGTGTTTTTTTTTCAGTGATCCGCTTGACTTTATTTGCAACAGTGGTTGTGCTAGCGAGGTTTACTTAAAATTTGTTTTTCCTGCCAGATTTTAAGACTAAACTTCCCAGCCAGCAAGGGTACGTCATATTGACGTCCTTATATGGTGATAATTCGTCAATACTCGTCACCTGACCAAAAACTGACGACATATTGACGTGTGATAAATGCCGTTCAAATGACGTGCTTTTTGTCACGTAATATTGACGCGTTTTTCTGGTGATAAATGTAATACACATTGACGTCAATATATATCATGTAATATTCACGTATTTTGCTTGTGGTTCAGTAAACCTGGTTTTTTGAATTAGTTTTCTTTTTTCAATGTGTTTTGAATGTATTCCTAGAATTCCTAGGGTTGTGCCGTGTATACTGTATTCTATAGTGAATAGGAGACAAAGTGATGATACAAATCATTATTTTTTTTCGCATTTGTAACTACTTACTCACGAAAATTTTGATCGAATCGAATGCGAATAATACCCCTACCCTCGCATTTTTTCGACATCCTGTTTTTTAATTTTTACTACAGCAAAACTTTGATGCGTTTGAAAACACATCTTTGAATAAAAATTAAATGGAAAACTCCCATAGTTCATACTCATAGTTCCATCTCTGACTTTCAAATAGTATAGAAATAAACGGTAGAAACTGTGGAAAGGCCAGAAAGGGGACGTATTTGGTTTGTTTTTGTGTTTGGTCAACGGTTTGGTGAATGCGGAAATTACTGTATTCCTTTTATACATCGAGTGACACCGAACAAACACCGAACGAAAAACGTTCAAGCTTCTGACTTTGAGCAGCTCCGAGTAACTCAACGGGAAAAAGGAAAAGAGTAAATACAAATACAATACAAATTCTAGCATTAGTTTAGTATTAGTAAGGGACAACAATAAATATTGCATCGCCGCGTGGGGAAACGAATATGCTATTCAGCGAATTCTATTGGTAGAACCAGTGCAGAAAAATGTTTTTTTATCTCTTTCTTATAGAAGTCGGTAGAAAAGACACGAACACACTCAGTGCGCACTAACCCTTCCAATTCGCTACTGTGTGTGTGACTGTTGACGTTGATTGTTGTGAGGGAGTTTGTTGAGGTTATGTTGTGGTTGTAGCATGGCGTGGTCGTGTTTCATTTGGTTTTCCCTCGCTTTTTGCTTTCTCATTTCCCTCCAAGTTTCCCTCATTTCTTTTTTACGCAAGTATCGCGTGGAATTATTAATTCTTGATATATTTTTCGGTTTTAATTTCTCTTCAGAATCATCCTGCTGCATCCAAGTGAAACGCCTCTATATGAATGTGAGTTTTATTCACGTGTTTGTGTTGAGACTAATAACAATCACCAACCGTAAGTATATGTCTTTTGTTTTAATATACCTTATTTTATATTATAATATACATTATTATTATTGCTTGTTCACCTAAGGGCCAACTTATGGACCAACAGGTAAGTGTCTGGTTGTTACCTCACCTAGCAAGTACTACAAGTAATATGTTTAATACGCCTACAGAATATTTATATTGTCTTTTTTTAAATATATTTTTCTCAAAAGTGATATAGTGTTGGTTCATTTTCGTTACAGGTCATATAAATTTGAAAAAACAAGGATTTATAGAAAATATATCAGGTAAATATGACGTCATTTATAAAATAGATATCACGCGAATGGAACGTTATTAATACGCCAATATCACGTTAAATAACTCATAAACTTGACGTCAAATAACACGTAAAAATGACGTACCAACTATGACGTCATTCGTCCCAGACATTAGGAAGTCATTTTCACGTCATAATTAAGTCATTTAGCTCGTCATTTCTCGTCACTTGATGACCAGTATTTAACGTCATTTTCACGTGCTGTTGTTACTTGGGTTATCAGGGTGATATTTTTCCATGTGATTTATACAGTAATTATGTGAAACAAAAATGAGTGCGCAAAGAGTTTCTGTGCCCAAGGTTCAACTTTGCGCACGCAAATAAGTGTTCAAAGTAATAACTTTGCGCACGCAAGTAGAAACTAGTTATTTTCCTAACAAGTGCGCAAAGTGTTACTTTTGGTTTAAGAACCGACGAACGTTTTTGACGTCATTGATTTGTTTCAGTCAATTTTTATTTGTTAAACAAGGAAGGCAAATGCTGGTGGCAAGTACAAACGCGAAACAAACTTTAGATGTTGGCTGATATAGAAACAGGAAAAATTTGTCAACATGTGTCAAAGTCGGCAGGTGCACTTATTGTTGCTTGACAATTATAATTACTTTTCGGCACTCAGTGCGGATAAGGCCTGTATCCGCACTGAGTGCGGAAAAGTGTAACTTTGAGCCCGGAAATGCGTGCGGAAGACTACTTTGCCCACGCTCGTAGGAAAATTATTTTTTGTTATTTGAGATATTTTTAAGAGATACATAAAAGGAATAAAAGATTGTTGCTCTGGCAGATAGATTAGCGTTTTCTTTTGTTGGAACTCTAGCGGCCATTTGCAACGCTATAACTTAAGGGATATTTAATCCAAGTGGAGCTTTGAATGTGACTCTCATAGAAACAAAAGTCACATTCAAAAGCTCCACTTGAATTAAATATCCCTTAATTTCCCTTAAGTGATAGCGGTGCAAATGGCCATAGGAGAATTCATCCATAGGTAAAGTTTTTTTTTTTTTTTAAAGCTAAAAGTCAAAATGACATTATGTTGGCAATACAATGTAAAATTGTCAATAGCTCTGTTCCAACCGACATGAGAACCGTTCTAGAACGGTAATTTCCAGTCGATCAATTCATTTGTCAAGTAGGATAAATATTCAACTTATTGAAAAATAAGTGGACCTTTGGAAATTACTGGTTCTAAAACGGTTCTCATGTCGGTTGGAACAGAGTCAATGCTTTCAAATTTTTTGCGTAGAAAAGTCTTGTGTTGCCAACATAATTAAAGTTTGTTTTTTATTTAAAGATAATTCCCCAAGTCAAAAATTTAGTAACTATAGCCGCTTTCCAGCTGTGTGCTTCAAGCACGGTGCAGCACAGTGTTCTGTGTTTGAAACGCAAAAATTAACAGCTCTTGAAGCGCAGTACGGCTGGAACACGAACACGTGCTTGAAGCATTTGCGCGCGCAACAGCTCGATTGCGTGCTCAAAAGCGTCAGCTGGAAAGCGGCTTATGTTGGCAGCACAAGCCTTTTCTATATGAAAAAATTGAAAGCATTGACAATTTTACATTGTATTGCCAACATAATGTCATTTTGACTTTTAGTTTTATCTTTAAAAAAACATACAAAACCGCGGAGAAGTTCGAATAATGATTTTAAAAATTATAACATTTTCAGCTTCACTACTCCCAAGAGTGCTCACGGTCTGGGCGGTGACGTCATATGTCTTTGTGGGAGTGCTCCGGACACAATTTAAATTATCATTATTCTTTATATTTAAATAACCTAAAAGGGCTTCTTGCACCCCCCGCTTTGATGCATCAAAAGAAAGGGCCGAAAGGGGGGTGCACTAGGAGTGACTCGAGTGCCAAAGGTGCATTTTGTTGGAGCTTCGATAAACGATAAGAGCATCTAGCGATACTAGAAGGTGTTTATCCGTGCGTTCGGTAATTTGATCTGAGTTCTCCGAGCTTGAATTTACCGTTCGTTTATTTGAAAAGTGTACTCGGTGCAAGCTCATTCGCGTTCGTTTATTGAAATTTTGGGCTCTCCGATACAGCGTTCAATTGCTCTGTTCGCTCGTTGGTCATGTGATTACTGCTCTACTCGGCACGCTTTGCTCTTTGAGCAAAATACCGAACGCAAGGTATGTAGGAGCGACGCGTTGAGACAAGTTTCCAATGAAATTAATTTTCGCTGGTCCGTTCACTGCTCTCATCGCCGCTTCTATCGTTTATCGCAGCTCCAATCGCACCCTTCGCATTTTTAAAAGGAATGTTCAAACTTGTGACATTGAGCTGCTCCGAGTAAAGATCGAATTTGACGGAGCAAAAAAGAGCGCTCCGTGCGATGTTTGAGAGCACTCTATTGCTCAAGTCGAACATGTGAATCTCGCCGAGAGCAATGCTCCGTTTTAAGCCGAACATAAGAATCTGTTTCAGATCGCTTTTTGATCAATCCGATGCAGTTTTGAGGCAAAAGTCGAAAGCGCTATTAGTTCGTTTTTACTTGTCAGCTCGCATCCGTGAGAAATCACCTAATAAGTCACGACTGTCAAATCTACTCCCAATTTTTCAAAACAAAAACAGCTGAGAGCTGAAAATTTGTGATTGTGTTTGTGGATTTTCAGAAAACTCCCCCCTATCGAAAATCCCATTTAATTTCGGCAAATTCAATTTAAAAAAATGCTTGTATGTGGGTAAAAGATTCGACGAATTCAGATTTGCTCTATTTCCATTTTGGATATCTGGAAAGGCTCAATAGTTGTGATGTGTTGAATCAGCAGAAATTGTAGCAACTACAAAGAATAGGCAAATATGATTCCTTTATCAGATAATCACGATATTGCTTGTTTTTTGGTGACCAAGCATTCCACTTGGAAAGGAAAGTAAGTACATTAGATTAATCCACTTATTTATTAATATTTGACTGATCAAGAGAAGTTAAAAAAATGTACTCCACCTTACTCAATGTTAAGAAACTAAATTTTTGAAAAGCTCGGCATTCCGTATGAGGATATCAACCTCGATATTAACTGTGGTGACATAAAACTCCTAAATCTTTCACCACCAGGGGTGGAATATTAAAAAGGATCCACCTGGATTTTCTCCAAAATTATCAGGAAATTAAAAAAACGCCGAAACTCATTTTGTTTGCAAGGGAGACACTTTTTGGCTATTTCAAATTTTTTCTAGATTGCACCCCTTTACTAGGGTGAGTTGCACCCTCAAAACTTGAATAGGGAAACTGGGTCGAGTAGTACCTTGTTTAAGAGGTATTTGAAATGACTTTACAGATCTGTAAAAGTGATAAGAAAGATAGTATTGAAAATTATAGGCCTATAAGCTTATTGAATGGCATAGCCAAAATATTTGAAAATATTCTCTATATTAACCTTTTTGAGCTGGTCCAACCATCAATATCAGTTTCACAACATGGATTTGTTCCTGATAAGTCCACGGCCACAAATCTATGTATATTTTCAGAACATGCGTGTCGTGTGAGGCAATAATTAATAAGTCTCAGCTAGATGTTATATATAGGTACTGACTGCAAAGGCATTTGACAAAGTAGACCATTGTATTCTGCTGGATAAACTGGTTGATTTCGGATTTTCCAAGGAAGCTTACAGTTTTATGAAATCATATCTTTTTAACAGAACTCAGGTTGTAAATCAGAGCAGTTCATTGCGACCTCTGGGGTACCTCAGGGTAGTAAGCTAGGACCACTTTTATTTATTATTTTTATTAACGATTTACCATATTCTGTAACCACATCAGCCAGTTTGTTGTATGCAGATGATTTCAAACTGTTTAGACCAGTATTATGCGATCATGACTGTAATGATCTTCAGTCTGATCTGAACTCCGTGGTCAATTGGTTTTGTGTGAATAAGATGTCCCTCAATGTTGATAAATGTTCAGTTGTTAGTTTCACTCGAAAACAAAATATTATTATACACGATTACTATGTAGATGGTGTATCATTGAAAAGAAATAGTAAAGTCAAAGACCTTGGAGTAACTTTTGAATCAACATTAAAATTTAATGATCATGTTGTTAACATTGTGAATAGGGCTTATAAAGTGTTGGGCTTTGTATTCCGAAACAGTAGGAGTTTCAGTATTGAGACAGTAACAAAACTGTATAATGCCCTTGTGAGGTCTCATTTGGAGTATGCATCGAATGTATGGTCACCAACAACAGCAGTATGTATCTCTAAATAAATAAATAAATAAATCTGTAATTTATTTCGAAATCTGACTACTTACTAGTTTTCAAGATATTCGCCTCGGAAGTTGCCATGGGGCGAAAAGAGAACGTGTTTTTCGTACATTTCTACAAGAAAAAATTGAAATTCCTGAAACACGTCAATTTTGTTTATTTTGAACCTTCGTTTCTTTGTTAGTTTGAACCTTTTAAAGAACCTTTCAAACATGACCCACTTTTCATTTTTTCACGAAAAACACGTTCTCTTTTTGCCCCATGGCAACTTTCGAGGCGAAAATCTTGAAAACTAGAAGTCAGATGAAAAAAATGACAGATCTGTAAAGTCATCTCAAATACCTCTCAAACAAGGTACCTACCACTCGACCCAGTTTCCCTATTCAACTTTTGAGGCTGCAACTCACCCCGTTAAGGAGGCGCAATCTAGGAAAATTTTGAAATAGCCAAAAAGTGTCCCCCTTGCAAACAAAATCGACGTGTTTCGGCGTTTTTCTAATTTCCTGATAATTTTCGAGAAAATCCAGGTGGATCCTTTTTAATTTTCCACCCTGTATTTCACTTTGTAGTTTGGGGACCAGACATGACAACCATATTCAAGTATGGATATTACTTATTGCTGAACAATGAACAGATTTCAATGCATAAATATTGTAAATATCTTTCAATTTGCGGACTACAAAGCCAAAGAGCTTCAAGACTCTAGTACAAATATTTTCAATATAATGCAGATTAAAAGTACCTAAGATCCTGTTGGAAAGTTATTCCTAAGTCTTTCAAAAATTTTCCCAAAAATTTTACAATCTAATTCCTGTCAAAGCAATATGTATGGGTATATTTGAAGCTATATTATGACTACATAATATTTGAAAAAGGAGTCCTCAACTAACATGATGAAATTTCAAATTTTTTTATGTTGAGATTTTGTGTCTTGATGATCATTCGGTACCCCCCAAAGTCTATACACTAAATTATTCTCAGAGCCGAAATCTTTGAAAAAAGGATGTTAGAAAAATTGATAATTCACCCCAAATAGCTTAACAGGATTTTATTTCTGAAACATAGGTCCAAATGAACTGACATTTTCAGGGATTGTAGTTCTCTACTAGGATAAGAATCGCTGAAAATTTCAGCTTCCTATCTCTAATAGAAAAAAAGTTATAGCTACCTTAAGTAGTACTAAAATGATTAAATTTCTAGTTTTCCTATGATGAGATTTTGTGTTTGAATGATCATTAGGGACTCACCAAACTCCATACACCAAATTATTCTGAGATTTGAGACCAAAGTGTCTGAAATCTCTGAAAAAAGGATGTCCGGAATATGAAAAATCAAAAACTCACCACAAATTGATTAACATGATTTTATTTCTGAAGCCATGCATTGTAGTCCTCCACGAGGATAAGAATCACTGAAAATTTCAGCTTTCTATCTATAATAGAAAAAAACTCGGAAAAAAGTTATGATAATTCAAAGTTTTCAAAAATCCAAATCATAAGGTTGCTACCTACTACTAAAATGATGAAATTTCAATTGTTTTTATGTTGAGATTTGGTCTTTAAATGGTTATGAGGGACTCCCCAAACTTCATACACTAACTTATTCTGAGATTTGAAGCCGAAATCTTCGAAAAAAAGGAAGTCAGGAAAATCGAAAAATCGGAAAATTCACCCCAAATTGCTTAAGCCGATCTTATTTCTGGAACTATAAGTACAAATGAGCTGAAATTTTCAGAAAGGAGATTATATGATTTAACGGTCATCTCGAGGGTCATCTGCAAACAGTGTGGTTACGATATGAGCAAAGCAGGAATTTGTCTATATTTTAATTACTTCCTGATATTTTGGAAATAAAATAAATTTTATCAATGATAATAATAATAATTACACAGCTATTTTTATTACATTTGCTTGCTACTAATTATTTTTTAACGCTAATAGGCTGATTAGAACTTCAATCCATAATATATTTTATTTTTGTTTATACATTTTTTTATCATTTGGCGGTTTGGTAAATAAATAAGCATTGAATATTTGTTATAAATTGAAATATTTTGACTCATTTAAAGCCGTTGATTAACATACAAATTAGCTACACATCATTTTTGGAAATATTTCTATTTATAAGTATGAAATTATGAGTAATTTCTATGCTAATCAACCCTTCAACATGTCAAAGATTATACTCCACAAATTACTAGGAAGTAAAAGCTCGTACTTGAAGTACGAGCAAATACTCTTTTTAATCATACTGGCCTGTAGATTAACTATGTATTTTGAATCATTTGGTATTAGACAAAACATTCACTTTTTTAAGATAGCAGAATGCTGCTTCAATGATCAACAACTTGATCAAAATAAAAGTTTTTCCTTCATAAGACTCATTAAAATCATTTACCTACTTCTATTTCAGATACAAAAGAATATTTTCAATAGGAACCAAAGGCATCACAACCTACAACCCTGGCACGTTTGAGGTTACCAACAAGTGGTTTTACAATGAATTTTACTCTATCCAATCTGTCAAGACTGGGAACAATGCTTCCAATGAGTTCCAGATTACAGTCAAAAAAGATAAAAAGCAAAACAAAATGCTCTTTTCGACTGAACATAGAACCCACATTATTACGGAAGCTATGAAATTCAAACATTTATTTATTGAGAAACCAAAGGAAATTTATGTAAGGGCAATATTTCTCACATTTCTATGCTTTACATTATTTTCTTTTAGCGTTATCAAGCCTATAAATATCATTGGTCAGACATAAGATTACCCATTCTACTAGAAGTGACACCTTACTCTCTAGATCAGCTGGACCCAACTACAAATACAATACTTGCCAGTTATGCTTACAAGGATTTTGAAGGAATCTGTACTGTGCACGACTTACCTGGTAGAAACTTCTAAATTGTTTTCGTATATTTCCCACAAACACGATGAATATTTTTTTTAGGTGCTTTTGTTATAGTTTGTGGTGGTTTTGGAAGGTTGCACTTATTCCAGACTGTAGACTTTGAAGAAATTAAGATTAAAATACTCGAAAATGCTGTTCAGTTTTTAGGTGTTAATATTAAGGTTTTAGGGCAACCTATTAGTTTAGAGGATTTTCAAAGGCAAAGATTTGGAAAGTATAGGTAATAAAAGTTTTGCACTAAATAATTCCACAAGAATTACACGAATAACATTTTCTTTTAGTGATGATGAATTTCTGACTTCATCATCAGAATTCTACGTTCACAAAATTCACAAACCTAGACATTCTGAGCCTGTAAGAAGAATTTTATGTTTGTCTGAATATTGTTTGCTCGAACGAGATCCTCAAACCTACAGTATTTGTACTTTACAGCCATTATGTGATATATTTGCTTTAGTTAGGAATTTTGATAATCCACAAGCTTTTAGTATAGAATATGTGAATGGGCAAGTGAGAACTTATATATCCACTGACAGGTATAAGTTTGAGATTTTATAAAATGTTTAAAATAAAATAAGTGTTTTTAGAGATTCCCTATTAGCCTCACTCCTAGATGGTGTTAGAGGATCTGGCAATAAAGATGTTTACATCACAATGCGGCCCACTCCAAGAGGCCTGAGACTGGGACCATTACACATTCCAGTAGAAGAAGAAGTAGAGAGCCTCCACTTGAAATTATTTCAAAGTTCACAACCTCATGTTAATTTTTCAGCTTGTGTAAAACGTTTCAATGCAAATATTTCTTATAGCGGACTTTTATATAGTGTAACACAAGAGGTAGTTTATTTATACTTCTGATGTTTGTATTATAATTAAATTTTTTATAGGGGATATTTGCAGAAAATAAGGAGAAGTTAATTCTGGCTGCATTGCAGGCGCTAGTGTCACGAGAAGGCGATCAAAAAACAATACTAGCCGAGGAATTAGAATCTCAATTTCAAGCTTTAAGGCGGCTAGTTGCAAGTAAAATTGGATTTGCTGCTTTCACAAAACTTCCAGGGTAAATAAAAAAAATATTCATTAACACAACTTCAAGAATGTTTTATAGATTCCGAGAATCAATTGGTATAAAAGTAGTAACGGCATTGAAAAGAAATGATTATGGAGTAACTCATGCGGCAATCGATATGATTTGTGCCTTAATGCATCCAATGCATGACGATTATGACCTTAAACAAGAACAACTGAATAAGTCTTCTTTGCTGCAAACTAAACCGTTTTTGGAAAACTTGCTTAACATGTGGTCTACACATATTGTAAGTAATTTCCTTTGAGTTGTGCGTTTTTATTTGGAACAACATTTTGTTTTAGAATCAAGGAACTGGAGCTTTGGTAGTTTCAGCTATGTTAGATTTTCTTACCTTTGCACTTTGTGTGCCTTATAGTGAAACAACAGATGGAAAACATTTTGATATTTTGTTGGAAATGGTAGCAGAACGTGGCAGGTTGCTTTTCAAATTATTTCAGGTAAGAACTACATAAAAATTTCAATTTAAAATAGACATTTTTTTCTAGCACCCTTCTATGGCCATTGTAAAAGGTGTAGGATTAGTCATGCGTGCTTTAATAGAAGAAGGAGACTCGGAAGTTGCAGTCAAAATGCAAAATTTATCCTTAGCTGAAGGAGCCTTGCCTAGACATTTATTATCTGCTCTTTACACTCAAGGTTTAGATGGTAGGATGTTGACACATAGACAATTATCAAGACATTTGATTGGGCTTTGGGTTACTGGAAATCCTATTGCTATGGGACTACTGAAGAGGATTATGGTAAGTTTTGCAGTTAAGTTAAGCTTCAGATAAAATCGTCTTTTTTTTAGCCTACTGGTCTAATATCCTTTCTGGATTCCGAAGACTCCTTACCCAAAGAAGCCAAAGAACAAGAACTATTAAACCACAGAGATAACTTGAAAATGGCACAAGATCATGCAGCCAAATCGAGAAAGAATCCTAATTGGATTGCAGTAGAAAGACAATTAAAACATGTTGAAAAACGGGTTGAATATTATACAAATTTAGCGTTGGAACATTGGGGTGCCAAAGTCGGATTAAACGTGAAACGAGAAGAGAAAATTAAGGAGAGGCCTATTGTTTTAAGAAAGAGGAGAGAAAGGGTGAAAGCTGAAAGTAATTGGCCATTGTTTTATTGGGTTTTTAATCAAGATCATGCGCTTCCAAATTTGATTTGGAATCACAAGGTAGGAGTTTTAAATTTAAACCGAAACAGCGATATTTTGTCCACCTAGTGTTTTGTTTGGTGGTTTTTTGAATATTGTTTAAGATTCTCAATTCCCTTTTTAGACAAGAGAAGAACTTCGTGCGGCTTTAGACAGCGAAATTCGAACTTTTTCAAATGACAGAGACTTAGCTGGTAATGCGTTAGTGGCATGGAATCACCAAGAATTCGAATTAAATTATCAATGTTTAGCCAATGAAGTAAAAATAGGCGATTACTATTTAAGGCTGTTACTTGAAATGGATGAGCATAACGATGATTCACCTATTAGGAAATCGTAAGTATTACTATGAATTTTTCTCCAGCATATTTTATATTGCTTATGTTTACAGGTATGAGTTCTTCAATGATCTATATCACAGATTTTTACTCACAAATAAAGGCGAAATGAAATGCATGTGCTTACAAGCAATGGCAATAGTTTACTGTCGTTATTTTGAAGATATAGGCCCTTTTGGTGATACAAAATTTATGACTTTGATGTTAGAAAGAGTGAGGATTTTTTCCTTATTGTTTTACTATTTTCCTAATTTAATTTGTTTCACAGTGCATCGACAAAATGGAAAGAGACCGACTAGTCATATTTATAGGCAAATTAATGTACCATAGAAAAAATGTGAGAGAATTGATAGATGTTGGAGGTGTTAAAATATTAGTGGATTTAATGACATTGGCACATCTTCATACTGGTAGGGCCGTCATTCCGACACAAACCAATGTTATTGAGGCCTCAGCTGATATGTATATGGATCAGAAAAAAGAGTGGCATTATAATACTGATGAAGGTGGGAAGGGACCAATTACTTTAAATGAGGTATGGATTCATGCAGAACTTCATAAATTTTCAATAATTGCTTTAAAAGAAGGAATTCATCTGCTAGTTATTGATATATTTTTACCGGGTGCATTTATTTTTGGAGGTGTTATGAACTGATATGCTTTTCCCAGAAAGTCCAATTTTGGTCATTCAATTTTAGGCATCCATAATATGACGCATTTAATTTCGTTGAGCAAAAAAAATTGTTTTTACTGAAAATTGAGGCAATGCATTTTGATTACCAGAAATACTTCTCCAAACAGGAACTGTCAAAGAACTTGATATTAAAAAGATATAATGCACTGAAGAAGTATTCAGTACCTAAATGAATTTGAATTTTGACAATATTGTCGGACCTAGGGGTTATGAGGGGGTGAGAATCAAAACTAGAGCCAAGTATAAAAATAGGAAAGTGGATTTGAAACAAAACTCTCCACAAATACATTTCAGATATGGGCATGGGCACTAATGATTATCACAGGACTAAAAGGCACTATTATTACTGACTAACTAACGCGGTTAATTCTCAGTCTGTAGATTAACTTCTCATATTTCAAAAACCATTATCTAATATTAATACCGCGACCCTGGTGCGTGATCATTGATTAAAACAATTACCGGTGAACCGTCGTTGACATTGACCTTCCATGGGTTCAGGTTCCTCATATAATTTAATAATTTGTTCAACTTGCAACCGAATGTTATTTGAACGTGACGTGATCAACGATTTTCCTGAAACCCATGAACATTTTCTGGAAGACGATTAAGTTTAATTAACCAAAGGGAGATGCCTAATTCCTAGATACAACAATATTTCCTGCAAAAAGTTGGTCCATTACCACATTTGAGCAAACTCGCTTATGCTATAAATGGACGAAGAAGTCAGATAAAAAAATCTTTTGTATTTGAAAGAAAAATTGGTATTCAATTGAGAAAAAGACATTTGCTAACTCTGACTTGATCCACATAGGCAAGGGAAAGTCTCAATAAGAGAGGGTTGGCATACAATTTTCTCTACTCCTTGGTTTTTGGATGGATTTTTGATGGATGTTTCCATATAGATTAACACAAATTCCCAACAAATATTTAATAAAGGACAAATACAAAACCGTTTTTCAAACATACTCCTGTCACAGACAAAAAATTAAAATAAAACTCTGAAACCTATAACTAATGCTCTTAAAACGCCAAGATGTTCTAGAAGCTATCAGAAATTTCCCAAATATTCTTAAGCACTCTTTGATACTTCTAATTAAAATTCTAACGCCTGAACGTGTTTTTAGAGAGTTCTAATATGTTCATGGAAGTTTAAAAATTGTTCTAAAGTGTCATGTAACGATTCTCAAGATATTCTGTAAGTTTCCAATTCAAGATTGTTTCCAAAAGTTCCATATGATTTGTAAAGTGTTCTAGAGCGTTCCAAAATACTCCTGGAAATTTTAACTTGGATCTAAACCCAAACTTTAAAATATCTCAAGCTTTCACAAATGTTCCCAAAAATTCGGAAGTGTTCTGGTTCGTTCTAGAATGTTTCTGAAAATCTAATTTCATTCTAAATTGACCTGTAGCGTTTTACAATGTTCGTGCAAGTTCCAATTTGTCTCGGACAAATGCAGGAGGATTGACAATTTAATTTAAAGTCTTCTGAAGTTTATCAAAGTTTTAAATTTATTTTAAAGAGCGTCTCACAATGCTTAAGTATATTTGGGAGATTTCTGATAATCTAAATATTCTTACGGGCTTTTTGATAATTCTAATTGTAATTCTAAATAAGTTCAGAAGTATTTTAGACTGTTCTTTTATGTTCATGGAAGTTTTAAGTTAGTTCTAAAGTGTCATATAACGATTTTTAAGATATTCTGGAAGTTTTCAGTTCTAGTTGTTCCCAAAAGTTCCATATGATTTGTAAAGTGTTCTTGGAGTGTTCCAAAAGCTTTCTAAAATGTTGCCGAAAGTTCAGAAGTGTTCCGGTTTGTTCTAGAATGTTTCTGAAATTCTAAATTGGTTCTAAAGGCCAATGGTTCTGTAACGTTTTACAATGTTTTTAAAGATTTCAGTTTGTCTCAAACAAATACAGGGAGGTTCAAACTTAAATTGAAAGTTTTCTAAAGCTTATCTAAGTTCTAAATTGCTCTAGAGCATCTTAAAATGCTCAAAAATGTTCTTACTTGGCGCTGAAGCTTTTCAAAATGCTTACCAAAGTTTTTAACTGGTTCCCTAATGATTTTGAAGCTCTGGAATGTTCTAGAAGTTATCAGAAATCTTCCAAATGTTCTTGAGCGCTCTTCGATAGTTCTGTAGTTATCTATACGAAAATATTAGGTTTTGATACATAAAAATAGGTATATATCAGAAACACAAATATCCACCAAAAACATCAAAAATCCAAACCAAAAATCCAATTCTCTATCTACTATAACGCAATTCGCCGGATTTTTGCTAACCCTGCAATAAGATTATAGAAAGAGCTTTTGAAAAGGGGATTGCAAGATCTGCAGAAAAGCCTGCTAGTATACAGAGTATGAAAAAAGATAAGAAGAACAGAAGATATTCAGGCAGAAAATCTGTTGGATTTGGAATCACTGATACAAGAGGCAGACAATAATACCAGTTTAAGTACAAGTTTGAGCTTGAAACTGGTTGTAGGCAATGAACTATTACCAAAAACTGGAATGCGCACACTAATTTCCATATGTGCCAAAAAGTAAAGCTGCCAAAGACGGATGCCACAAGGGGAAATGTTGTTCTTTTTTTGTTGCTCACTGACATATAACGTTTTGGAAATTTCGTTATATTTTACCTACACAAGTTTTATTGATTGGAATACGTGTTGAAATCAATTTCCGCGATTTAACGTAATGAGTGCCACAAAAACAGGCATCCCCTCCGCAGCAGCGGCACTAGGCTTCACGAATCTTCACGTTCGTCGATATGTGTGCGCATTCCAGCTTTTAGTTATAGTTCATTGGTTGTAGATATTCTACTGGGTATTCTGGTAGGCGTAGTTTGTATCCTGAGGTAATTATCCAAATGTGGTTGGTGCTGAAAATTTATCACGATTGTTGAAGTGGGAGAATTTTGTAATCAGTTTGATTGAATTCCGTTCTATGAATAAACTTATATATCAATCAATAAGATTCATGCAACAGGTGAAAATGTATTAATGACTAAGAAACTCCTTCAATTGGAGACAAAGTGTATCTTCTTATCAGCCTGTTCTAATCCTTTCCTGATTACAGGCCTGTTCCATATTTTTCCATTTACCATTGCTGTCCACATCCAGTTTCCTTTGACAATTTTCTGGATGTCATCACGCCATCTCTTTTGAGTTCTTCTAACACTACTCTTGCTTTCTTACAGTGTATATTTATACTTAAATTCTTCTAGGTAAAAGAATTATTTACCAAAGGCACAATAAATAGTAAAACTCGTTGCTGGGCAATGGGTCTAGATGGTTGGAGAGCCCTAGCTCAACTACCCCAACTAAAATGGTGCCTACTAGCCAAAGGAAACCCAGTTTTGAACGAAAGTGATCTTGCCACTCACATCCTAAATATTCTTATAAGAACTTGCGAGTACTATCCCAGCAGAGACCCAGATGGTGCCATTGTGAGACCAATGCCAAAAATTAAAAGAATCCTTTCTGAGCAAGCAATACTGTCACACGTGGTGCAATTGTTGCTCACGTTTGATCCGATTTTAGTTGAGAAAGTTTCCACATTGCTTTGTGAAATTATGACTGATAATCCTGATATGCCTAAAGTGTATTTGACGGGAGTTTTTTACTTTATATTGATGTATACTGGTAGTAATGTGCTTCCTATTGCGAAATTTTTGCAGTTGACTCATATGAAACAAGCATTTAAAACAGAGGAGGTAAATATTATTTTTATTTTAATGTTTCAAATAAATACTGTAAAATTTTAGAGTATAATCACAACAGCAACAAAGAGTATACTCGGCCGCTTACTACCTGAAGCAATGATCAATTATTTAGAAAATCACGGGGCTGACAAGTTTGCCCATATATTTTTAGGTGAATTTGATACGCCCGAGGCCATATGGAATTCACAAATGAGGTAACCAGCTTAAATTTTGATGATTTTTCTACCATATAAATTTCTGTTTTTGTTAGACGAATGTTGATAGAAAGAATTGCAGCCCACATAGCTGATTTCACTCCTAGGCTTCGAACTCACACCATGGCCAGATACTTGTATATCGCCATACCAACAATACGTTATCCTCAATTAGAACGTGAACTGTTTTGTAACATTTTTTATTTGAGACATCTCTGTGATACTGTTAAATTTCCTGATTGGCCTATACCGGATCCGGTAATAACTTTGTATGGAATTTTTTTAATTGCTGATTGATTAATTTTTAGGTTGCCCTTTTAAAAGATGTTTTAGATACGTGGAAGTGTGAAGTAGAGAAAAAACCACCTCAAATGACAGTTGAGGAGGCATATACAAATTTGGGCTTACAAGGTACTGCTCATGATGAATCTGTGATAAGAAAGGCGTATTACAAATTGGCTCAGCAATTTCATCCTGATAAGAATCCTAATGGACGAGTATGTATTTTGTTATTATTGGATTTTAAGAAATATTTTTGCCCGTTTTTTTTTAGGAAAGATTTGAACAAGTTAGTCAAGCCTACGAATTCCTCTGTAGTAGGACAAGTTGGAATGGAGATGGACCCAATCCTAATAATGTCGTATTGTTACTCAAGACACAAAGTATTTTATTTCATAGGCATTCAGACGGTAAGTTTATATTTTGGGGAATATTTTTTTGTTTGTTTAATATTTTCCTTCCTTTAGTTCTTCAGCCATATAAGTATGCCGGTTATCCTCAACTAATAACAACAATTAAGATTGAAACAGCTGACGACCAGTTGTTCTCTAAAACAGAGCCTTTATTGGCGTCTGCTGCGGAATTAGCATATCATACTGTAAACTGTTCTGCTCTTAATGCTGAGGAACTTAGACGGCAAAATGGCTTAGAGGTAACTATATTTGTATTATTGGTCACCATTTTTACCCTTATTTTTTACAACTTTGTAGATACTCCTAGAAGCATTCTCTCGTTGTGTCGACGTTTTAAGCAAATCATCTAAACCAGACGATGTAGCAGTACAAGTTTGCATGCATATCACAAGGTGCTTCAGTGTTGCCGCTCAATTCCAAGGATGTCGGGAACGAATCATCAATTTACCACAACTTGTTAAAGATCTTTGTCGGATTTTGCATTTTAAAGTAAAAACTCCACTCTAAAGAAAAAAATTATTTCAACAATTTATTTCTAGCATCTTACAAAGCTCTGCAGCGTAACAACCGAATGTATAAACGCCTTAGCAGTAGACTCAATTCTGCAATTGGAACTTCTGAAAAGCGGCGCCCTCTGGCATTTATTGTTATTTATATTTAAATACGATTTTACGTTGGAAGAGGGCGGTATTGAACGTAGTGAAGATTCTAATGAACAAGCTGTCAGCAATCGTTTAGCCAGAGAGTCTTTGAAGGCTTGTGCGTCTATGGCAGGCTTGAATTCCGATCGTAACTCTTTGATTTTGGAGATCCTGACAAGTTTGTTGACGCCGTTTATCGTCAGTCATTTGTCGGATGAAAAACCCGAAGAGGTGATAAAAGTTGACAGCTTTTATGCCGAGACTAAATTGAGATGTGCATTTTCAGATTCTGAAGATTCTCAACTCAAATAGTGAGACACCGTATTTGATTTGGAATAATGGTACTAGGATGGAGCTGACAGAATTTTTGGTTATTCAAGTAAATACAAGGGAACATGGGGACTTCAATGCGGCCACTTCTTTTGAATTTTCGGCGCAAAAGAATGAGTTGGTTATCGGTGGGATATTTGTCAAGATCTATAATGATCAGCCTACTTTCCAGATACAGGTAATCATATTTGTTTATACCGGGTGGTCCTCCGGGAATGACATCGATTGCTTATGGGAAAACTGTGAAAGATAAAAATTTGAAAATTTGGCAACATAGCAATGTCGATGGGGGACATCTAGGTAAAATATTTTCAAGATGGCGGCATTTCCGGTCATACCGGAAGTTGATACCAACTCGGTTATTTTAAATAGAACACCCCATATATTAATGTATTTTTGGATTCTACATAAAATTCTGAGCAGATTTCATGTAATATACCCTATACCTAAGTTCAACTGTTTTGGAAATATTGACAGTTGAAAATTGACTTTTTGCAACTTTGACAAGCTGTAAAACCTAATTGGTTAATTTTAGAGGAAAACCGATTTCACATTCCTATCTTAGATTTTGATAAACTATCATTTGACACCAACTTTGAACTTAAACGGAGATTAAATTTAACTGAAATTTTTAATCATGGATTTAATTCAAAGTTGATGTCAAATGATAGTTTATAAAAATCTAAGATAGGAATGTCAAATCGGGTTTCCTCTAAAATTAACTGTTCAGGTTTTACAGCCTGTCAAAGTTGCAAAAAGTCAATTTTCAACTGTCAATATTTCCAAAACAGTTGAACTTAGGTATAGGGTATATTACATGAAATCTGCTCAGAATTTTATGTAGAATCCAAAAATACATTTATATACGGAGTGTTCTATTTAAAATAACCGAGTTGGTATCAACTTCCGGTATGACCGGAAATGCCGCCATCTTGAAAATATTTTACCTAGATGTCCCCCATCGACATTGCTATGTTGCCAAATTTTCAAATTTTTACCTTTCACAGTTTTCCCATAAGCAATCGATGTCATTCCCGAAGGACCACCCTGTATGTATAAGCTAGTGATTTTTGATACAGTTTGGTTTTTGTTGTGCTTCTTACAGCTAATTTTTTTAATAGACAGGACAGGTAATAGGGGTAAAAACTTTATGACATCACCTAATGCTGTAATCTGTAATATTCTATCAATCAACTTCTGTTTTTCTTTTGGAATGTTGTCTCTTAAGTCTTAAGTGACCTTTCCTGGTTGGTTTGTAGCTATAAACCGAAGTTATTAGGAATTCCCGGAAAAAGAATCTGTAGGGGATAGGTCAGGGCTCCTAGGAGGCATCAGATTATTACTTCTATGTATATATCTCGTTTTTGACAACCACATATTCGTTGGTAACTATGGGTAAATTTATTGACTATTGATTCTTCAATTTCCAATTTTCTTGGTGCCAATACAAGAAATTAATGCCAGAAAAAAAATGCTGCTAAAAACTGCAAAATGCTCTAACATTGTTCTGCACTGATTGATCTTATAAGAGTGCAATTTAAGATTTTTTTTTTTCGGAACAGCAAGTTGAGCTAGAACACAATAATTCTTATTGTCTTTGGCTTCTGATTGAGATATAGAGGTGACTTGTGGAAACCTTGATAAGCAAAACTTTTGATTCTCAATTAAAATTTTCCAACTCTTCCAGGGGTGAACCACAAGGGAAATCTGGTGTACCAATTAGGGGAAATCAAGAAGAAATCAGGAGAAATTATAAGGAAATCAAGGGAAATCTTGGATTTCGGGGAAAATCAATATCCAAATGTAACTCATTTCAAAAATTTCAATAACTGCAAATTTTCCTAATACTAAAAGTTTGCGGAATTAGAGATTTTAAAAATTGTAGATTCTCGCCAAAAGTTATGAGCCAAAATCTGCCTCGATATTGTAAAACAGCACTTACGAGTTCACTCTTTAATTTTTCAATTTAATTTTTTTACTGTTAAAGAGCTTTATTAATCCCAAGAAGAAATTACAAGATTATTCTTATTTTAGGAATTAGCTTAATCTAAAAAAAAATAACCCTTATATTAAACAATGATATGATGTGATGATGGCGCTTCACAACTATCTAGCAGCAGCATAATATTCAACAGATACTAACTATTATCACAAGTTGAGGAACACAAAAGAAAAAAAAAAATATATATATATATATATTTACATATAAAACAAATAAATATTTTTAGTAACATCCAACATAATGTAGGTACATAATATGATCCATGAGAGAACAACACACATTTAATAATTTTACAATTTTCGCATCACAAATTCCTTTAACTTTCTTCTAAACAAAGTTTGCCTATCAATATTTCTTATAGCCACTGGTAGGCTATTATATAATTTTATACCTTTATGGTAAATAGATTTTAAACCTATTCCTGATTTCACCTTTGGCAAATATATATCATTCATTCTCCTAGTATAGTGATCATGTACGGTTTGAACAGTAACAAATGTTATTATTGACTTTTTCTCTTTTTTAACTATATAATAAATATACAACATTGTCTTATAACTATAAATTTGGTTAATATTAAAGAATTTATAAATTTCATACAAGTTCTTAGTATGATATCGAAAGGGAAGTTTAAAAACATTTTTTATAGCTTTATTTTGGAGAGTTCTCAAGGGATTTAAAATGTAGTCGGCTGCCGTGCCCCAGACTGTTATTAGATAATGCAAGTGGCTATAAACATGTGCATAATAGAGCTGTTTTCTCAATTTTTCAGTCAACAGATGTCCAACTTTGTACAGAATCCCTACAAAAGGTGCAATTTTTTTCCTAACATGACCAATATGTGCTGCCCACGACAGTATACTATCTATGAAAAGACCAACATAACTTATTACAGAAACATTTTGTAATTGCTGACTCTCAAACACTATGTTATGGCATTTATTATTTAAATTTTTCCTACCTAAAAACATATATGACGATTTATCCATGTTAGCTGTCAATTTGTGAGACTTCAACCACACACTTATTGTGGATAAATCTTCACTGATGTCGGACTTAATAGACTCAACACTCCTACCATAATACACCAATGTTGTGTCGTCTGCATACAATTTTATTTTACCCCTTAATGAAAGTCTCCCAATAGAATTAATATAAATTAAAAACAATGTGGGGCCTAGAACTGATCCTTGAGGAACCCCGCACCTGATCAATTGTAAATTGCTGTTAGCATTATTTGCATTCACAAATTGCCTTCTGTTCTGCAGATAGTTTCTGAACCAGAAGTACGGAATTCCTCTAATACCTGCCTCCTCCAACCTTAACAGTAAAATCTCATGGTCTACAGTGTCAAATGCCTTCTGCAAATCCAAAGACACCAGAGAACAGAGAGAAATTTAATTTGTTTATCAACGGACTTGCCATTCAGCTTTTACAATCTATCATAAATTACATTTAATGCACTAAAATTACAAAAATATATAACATCAAAAATCACTTAACAAAGTTAGACACACAAAAATTAAAATACTGCAACTGCAACAAATAGAATAGGATAATTAATAGATTCACCCAGCCTTTTCAGTAATTTAATACAATTTAATAATTAACTGTATAGGTCTCTTGAAACACGGAAGATCAGTACAGAAAAAAAAAAACTTTGACATTACATTACATTACACTACCACTCTTTGAATTTGCCAGCCCACATATTCTGGACATAGGACTATTTAAGCCATAGTTAGTTCTATGAAAATCTATTGCAAATAAATCATGCTGACAGGTTAATTTTTGGGGTAGTCCTTAATATTACTTAACAATTCAGGGCTGTCAATAATGCCATTTACAATTTTGAACAAAGGAAATATATCAAATTGAGTCCTTCCAACAGTGGTAAATTCAACTTTTCATACAAATGTTCATAATTAATATCTTACATGGGAATTCAGAGTTTAAAATTTATAGTTCTCAAAAATCGTCTGTCTACCTTCTTCAATGAATCTATATAAACATTATAATATGGAGACCAGGCTGGACTAGCATACTTCAACACTGATCTTACAAAACTACAATACAGTGTTCTAAAACACGTGCCATCACAAAAATCAGTCAGTCTTCTATTTACAAAGCCTAACATTTTTATTTCTTTATTCCTCATATAATTTATATGATAATGAAACCGTCTAGATAGGGTTAAGATCTTACATTTCTGAATATTCAATTCCATACCGTTTAACTTACACCACAGGCACAGGCTATTTAAGTCTTTTTGCAACTCAAGACAATCTTCAGTGTTTCTTATAGTCTTAAATACATAACTTCAAATCATCAGCAAAAAAAAAGTTTATTTGCAATCATATATGTAATCTTGTCATTACTGACTTTTTAAAAATTTGTAAGTGACACTTTACCTGTGCCACTTCCCTCTTCGATTTCCCTCACCGATTTCCCTATTCGACTTCCCTCACCGATTTCCCTCACTCTAATTTATTTACCTTTGCTGGCAACAATGAAAACAAGTCAGGTAAAAACGTCAAAGCAGCGAATGACAGATTTTGGCATGTTTGTTTTTTTTTTAATATTAAAAAAATTGATTAACTAATCATAATTAATGGTGTGCTTGCAAATAAAATAGTATACAAACCTCGGAGGGAAGTTTTCATTTCTGTCTCGAGATTATTAGTCAATCTCGACGCTTCGCGTCTCGATTGACTATATAAATCTCTCGACAGTAATGAAACACTTCCCTACTCGGTATGTAATATACTATTACTACTGCATTTGATTTTAGAAACAAGATCATTTATAAAAATGTCAAAAAGTATTGGTGTCAAATGTGATTCTTGGGGCACTCCAGATAACACATTAATATTGGATGATATCACATTCTTTATCTTAACTGCCAGCGTACGGTCTGATAAATAACTCCTAAACCAGGCCAGAATTGGACCATGAAAACCTATACACTACAATTTGTGTATAAAAATATCGTGCTGCACCCTGTCAAAAGCCTTGGAATAATCGGTGTAGACTGAGTCATTCTGATATCTGGCCTCCAAAGCCCTTGCCAGTGATTCAGTGTAGACCAGAAGGTTCGTACCAGTTGAACGACCCTTAACAAAACCATGTAGGGATGACGATGATACACAGTACACTAAAGGAACTATCTTATTAGT